AGGGGAGTGAAGATTCTGGGTGCTATTTCGTTTTTGTTCTCAGTCATTCATAGTCATGAAAACCCCACCTAATACTGACTTGAGCAAGCAGTGGACAAGCGCTATAGTTCCCTGGCATACACACGACTTTTCCATCAATACCTGAAATTTATGCACAGGAAGAACATCAAAAAATTCATGTGCGAGATAAAAGCTGTATCCTGTTTAAAAATACAAGAAAAATTAGTGATTCAGCATTTCAAAACAATTCTAATGAACATTAACCATAAAAAAGGAAATGTCCAGTTCTTCAGCCCTGGAGCCTGGGATGCTTCTACACTATCCTCTATAGCAGCGGTTCTCAGCCTTTCTGATACTCTGTCCCTTTAATACAGTTCCTTGTGATGTGGTGACCCCAACCATAAAATTGTTTTCTTTGCCTCTCTGTAACTGTAATTTTGATACTGTTATGAATCATAATGTAAATGTCTGATACGCAGGCTATCTGACATGCAATCACATGAAAGGGTCAGTCAACCCCCTAAGGGGTCAGGACCCAAAGGTTTCCAATGACCTGAGAACCAAAATACCCCATGATCCGCTAACTCTTCATCACAAACTTCCTAAAAACAATGAGACTCAAATGTGCGAGTGGGGAAGGAATGTGAGCTTCATATAGTACCTGAGAAAGAGAAAGCTAAGGCCAGAAACGGCGTTTGGGGTCTTGCTGGAGAGCTTACCTCCTTACTAGTTGTCAAAGACTAGTACAGGGCTTCTTATCCCCACACCTTGTTTGCCTTTGGGAAAGGAAAGGTTTCTCAAGAGATTAATGAGGAAACCCATCCGCTATCACTTTCTTCAGCCCGCTGCTTTGGGCCATTTCATCATCAGTGGCCTGCAAGGATACATGCAGGCAGACACTATACATAATTAAATCAAAAAAAAAAAAAAAAAGATGTGAAATACACGGCTCCTTAATGCTCAGCAATCTTCTATTATAACGTCCTGTGCTAGGAAAGGACAAGTCAGCTATTCACGTTAAAGGAGGGACTTGGAAGCACTAACGTTAGATTGCGGTAAAACGCTACCAGCCATCAAGGCTGCAAGAGGTCTTGAGCAACGCTCTGCCTTAAGTCAATGTGAAGCATACCTTTAGGGACGTCCTTCAGATCTCGGTACCAGGAGACTGGAATCCCAGACTTGCTGACACCTTTCATGTACACCAGGGAGTCAGCATCTCTCTCCAAAGGGAGCTTCTCCTCCGTCAGTGTCAGTGCTTGAAGCTCACTTAACTTTGGGCTCACCTCTACTAGGTGGACTGAAATGTCACAGTTTTTTAGCACAGACCCAAGCTGACTGAACACCTAAGACAAAAAGAGAATACTGTCTTAGTTACTGTCCTATCACGTGACAATAGCCAAGACAACTTAGAAAAGAAAGCATTAGCATCATGGTAGCAGGCAGACGGACGTGGTACTGGAGCGGTGGCTTATATCTTATCCACAAGCTGGAGGCAAAGAGTGAGGATGGGCATGGTGGGGGCTTTGGAAACCTCAAACCCACTGCCAAGTGACACACCTGCTCTAACAAGGCCACCTTCTTATCTTCCAAACAGTTCTGCCAACTAGTGACAAAGCATTCAAATATATGAGCCTATGGGGCCAACGCACCACCCACGGGCAAACACAGTGTACCACGTGGACGAATTTCTGACTGCTCACCACCAACATTTACTATATCACAAGAGTATTCACTGTTAGAGATGTAACCCCGACCCAAGTCCTTCTCCAGCAACAGTATTAGAACCATACATCAGTTATATATAAAATAAACTGTACAACATAGCTTTTTAATAACAATTTACTATTAAAAATTAAAAGATTTAGCAACCCCTCAATGTTTTTGATCAAAAAAAATTTAAATGTCCAAGGAAATAAAATGTCTGGGGACATGATGAAACTATCCTCAGAACTAAATTAAATGCATCAGTTACTTGACTGACCCTGAGATTAAAAAACATTTTCAATTTTCCCTTTGCTACACAACAGGTTTTTTTTTTGTTTTTTTTTTTGTGTTTTTTTTTACTGTTGTAAACATACAAGGGAAAAAAGAAAATACACACATCTTATCCATCTTCTAGCAACTCAGTACTGAAGGCATAAATGACATCATCCAACCATTTTATATTTTTAGCCTATACAACACCCTTCCATTTTATAAGCTTACAGACAAAAATAAGTAATGAACCATCACGTTACTCTGACATTGTATTTTAGCTGACAAATATAAGATTTAGGAAGAAGGACTGAAAACCCAGAAGATCAGTTAAAATCCCAAATTGAGTCAAAAGCAGAAAGATTAATCTACATGACTTTTACTACCTACCCTCAAAATATCTCCAGTGAGGGTACCCCGACCTGGGCCCAGCTCCACCAGCTGGAAAGCGGAGCTTTTTCCAGAGCTCATCCATTCACTTACAAACCATACCCCTAGTAGCTATAACAAGAAAAAAAAATTACAGAGTCACAGCATAAAATTATACATAAATACGTACTTTGTACAAAAAGCAAAACATTTGGCAATAATTCTATGTATGGTATTAGGCATAGATATCTACAGATACACACACAGGAACTTCACTGGGATAATAGCAGAGGAAGCTTACTTTAAGAGCAAATGTCGTTAAGTCTGTCTCCTACAGAAGGCCCCATGACACAGATAAGCAGCCACTTACAGAAAGGTAATAGCGTTTGAAAACCAAAGGACACAGAAAACACAATTGTGCCATTTCTTCCTACTCTCATGACTGACATTACTACATCACCCTTAGCTGTAATCAATGCCTCTCAAACCTAGATTCCACTTCTCTTTATGCACAATTTCTGATTTTTAAGTTATCAAAAGTACTTTGGGGGAAACAAATGAACCATGGTTTTGTTACTTACAGGGAGACCCCTGTAGGCAGGTTATGTCATAGCTCGAAGTGCCAGCGATGATTGTGGGTTTGTTTTTTGTTTTTTGTTTTGTTTTGCTCTCTCCTTTTCCAATCTCATATTTTATATGGTTCTCCTCAAACTTTTTCTATCTTCCTTCATATTTTTCCATTTCTTTTTTTACATATGAAGTCAGGGTTTCCCAAATGTCCTCTCCACCACTCCCTTTAAAAATGTGAACTATCAGATGAATCACACACACACACACACACACACACCCATAAAACACTTGTTACAGACTAGCAGAGCCTGGTCTGCTCTCAGTGTTTATGGCATTCCTTCCTTTCGCGGTCTACACGTTGGGCATTACCTCCCCAAAGATCTGACTTATTTCAGGTGAGGTTATGAAGTCTCCTTTTTCTCCTAGCATATCATGATGCACATAATATCCCTGGGTAAGAAGAGGAAATGGAAAAGATTAATTTTCAAATAAGGTTTTCAAAACTACTCCTCCAAAATGTTATTTCATGCATACGGTGACGTAACTATTTACCAAGGAAGTTATCTCTTCTGAAATAACCAAGAGAAAGACAGAGTCTTCACCCAAGTTTTACATGGTAGTAATCATTTTGCAAAACTCATAGAAAAACAATCACTCCTCAAGAAGGGCTGGAGCCATGCAATGTTCGTCTCTACCGTCCCTGCCCTCTCCCCGCTCCCACAGTCCAACATGGGAAGACTAATCACCTCTGCGGCCTCCTCTCCCAAGTTAGTCTTGCCTGTGGGTGATACTCTGTTTCATGTGAAAATCTGTGTGTGTGTGAGGGGGGGGAGAGGGAGAGAAAGAGAGAGAGATCCATCCAATTATATACCAGTGACTTAGGTACTTTTTATACAATTAATGTATCTCAATTAAAAAAAAGTGGGCTTTTAAAAAAAACTGGCCTTGCTTGTCTACTCCCAGGCCAATGCAGTCTCGTTTCTTCCCTTTTTAGTCCTCCTGGCATCCTTATCAGTCCAGTCCACTCACGTACATCTCCACTGACTGCCAACCCAAAACCAAATCCAGTGCTTTTTTTTCATACGTCTATCGTTACTTTGATTAGGTTTAATTATTTGAGAAGATCATGTCTTACTATCTTCATATCGCAAGTTTAACCATAACACTTAACTTTCAAGAAAGACTCACGTGTATCCAGGCAGGGGGAAATGACCTAGAATCCCAGCACTCAGAAGAGAAAACATAAAGACCCCGCAAGTTCAAGGCCGGCCTCACGTATAAAGCACTCCCTTCCGGCAGCACAGCACAGTTAGAAAAATCATCTTTCCTTTAACTCATGAAATTCCAACCACATTCTGTCGCACCAAACCGCTGCAGAAATTTGCCCTGACCTTGAATTAACGCAGCCTGATCAACTGACAGATTAAACTACATCCCAAGGACTTCGGAGCTTGCTCATCCTCTGCCAGCTCTCGGGACCTTCGGGTTCCTGTGTCTACACACCCTTCATGGCTCGCGCTCCCCTGTGTTTACCTTGGCTGGGTTGGTCAAAACCTCCTTCATGTACTCTGCCACAGTGATGGGACCTGTAGACTTTATTTTATACATAAGATGCCGCAGCATCGGCGTCACCTGGCGGCTTTCTGCCGGCTCATTCCCGGAGCTGAAGCATTTCCCTCTCCAAATACAGGGGATGCCTGAAAAGCACGGTTAAGCACACGCATGAGAAATCTCCGTTTCATTTACACGCGCAAGCTTGCAAAAACCTTGCAAGGCAGCCTGTTTGTCACTAACGTCGCCCCAATAGCAGAACCCGATGCACGGAGCCCACGACTATACCCTACCACCAAGCCTCTCCGTGGACCGCCTTCCGGCCCCAACTCCGGGCCCAGAAAACAACCAAGGAACCAAGGAGCCGCGACACGCGGTTTCCATAGAAACAGGACTCCGCAGCTAGGACTCTTACCCGCACGGGCCACTCCACGTCTCACCAAAGCATTCATCCCCAACCACGTCGGGGCCAGGCTCCGCCTTCGGGGCGGAGAGGAAGGGTATTTCCTGACACGGAAGTGCGTCACCGGAAAGGGACAGTGAGTTGAGGGCTGCGCTCGCGTGTTCTGCCAATGATGTCGGCGGGCCGGGGACCTTTAGAGTTCCACGCCAAGCAGCCCTGGCGACCCAAAGCGGTGACAGAAGATCCGGAGGAGGAAGACGAGGAGGATAGCGATGAGGCCAAGGATGGATTCTCTCTGGAAGAGGTGTTACGCCTCGGAGGCACCAAGGTACCGGCCGCAGGCTCCGGGGAAGGGGATGCGCACGGCTGCCGGGAGTGTGGGACCCGCAGCCCAGCCTCCGACTTGTTCTGAGCGCTTCCCACGCCTTTAGCTGCTCTTCGGTGGAATAAAAGTAGCCGGATTGCATGTTTTCTCCTGGGTTTATGCCTTTTTTTGTTTGTTTGTTTCTCGGGACAGAGTTTCTCTGTGGCTTTGGAGTCTGTCCTGGAACTAGTTCTTGTAGACCAGGCTGGCCTCGAACTCCCAGAGATCCGCCTGCCTCTGCCTCCCGAGTGCTGGGATTAAAGGTGTGCGCCACCACCGCCCGGCCTATGCTTCCTTGACAAGTGGGCGAGCTTGTTATTAGCGTGGCGTAACCGTCACGCCCGTCAGGTAGGAGAAAACTAACTTACTTGTCCCAACCTCGTGGACTTAAATTTGGAACGCTAGAGTATGCCTAATCTGAATCTGCCGGGTTAAAAGAGAAATGCCTTATCGGTTGGATTGAAGTTGCCAAAAGGACCTGCAAGTTTACAATAGCCTTTGATGGAAGCGCCTTTTCGTACCTGCGCTACTCATAAAGTGTTTTTTTTTTTATTTATTAATGGAGGGAGTGCTGTATGTTCGTTGGTACTCGTGTATGGAAATCAAAGGACAACTTTGTGGAGTCGATTCTCTCCTTTATGTGGATTCCGGGAATCGAACTCCGGTCGCTGTGCTTGCTTGGCAAGGGCTTGACCTGCTGAACCACCCCATGCCCTCTCACATAAACTTTTGCCTTTGCTCACCTGATACGTTACAAATGCATGTGTCATTGCAATTTTCATTGGATTTCTGTGGCTGTCAGCGTGAGCATCTTTTCTCTGAGAACCTTCTTTTCCGATAGTGTACTTGTCCTTGGCACACTTTCTTGTTGGCTATCTGTGACTTTCCCAGGCAGTGGTGTATTAATCCAATTGTGATGAAGTTCTTACTGCAGTTCTGGGTTTGTGATATAGTTTTAACGTTTATTCTGTTTCTGCAGCAAGATTACCTTATGCTGGCTACTTTGGATGAAAATGAGGAAGTGGTGGATGGAGGTAAAAAAGGAACAATTGACGATCTTCAGCAAGGCGAATTGGAGGCATTTATCCAAAATCTTAACTTGGCCAAATACGCAAAGTCTTTGATTGAAGAGGATGAACCAGATGAAAAAGAAAATGATAGCAAAAAGGAAGCAAAAATACAGAAGGTAGAAAATAAAAAACAAAAGGCAGTAGAAAGTAAAAATACATCAGAAAAGAAGGTGAAAAATCAGAGTGTACCAGAACAGCATTCTGATAGCAGTACTATCCCTACACTCAAGAAAGATAAACAGCCCAATGTGTTTGAATTTCTTGAGCGGCAGACGTTGTTACTGAAGCCTGGAGGCAAGTGGTACGACATGGAGTACAGCAATGACTGCTCTTCGGAGCCCCAGCCTCGCGATGTGGTGGCGAAATACAAAGCCCTGGCTCAGAAGCTGTATGAGCACGAAGTCAGCTTATTCAAAAATAAGACAAGTAATCAGAAGGGAGGCTCTTCCACCTGGATGAAGGCAATTGTGTCGTCAGGGACACTAGGTGACAGGATGGCGGCCATGATCCTCCTGATCCAGGATGACGCTGTGCACACGCTCCAGTTTGTAGAGACCCTCCTGGGCCTCGTGAAGAAGAAGGGCAGCAAGCAGCAGAGCCTCCAGGCTCTGGATACATTCAAGGAGCTACTCATTACAGACCTGCTGCCGGACAGTCGGAAGCTGCGGGCCTTCAGCCAGCATCCTTTGCACAGACTGGAGGAGCTGTCCAGCGGCAACAAGGACTCGAGAGATCGAAGGCTCATCCTGTGGTATTACGAACACCAGCTGAAGCAGCTAGTAGCGGAGTTCGTGCAGGTCCTAGAAACTCTAAGTCACGATTCCCTGGTCACCACTCGGACCCGGGCCCTCGTGGCTGCTCACGAGCTGCTGTGCGATAAGCCTGAGGAGGAGAAGGCTCTTCTGGTTCAGGTGGTAAACAAGCTGGGAGACCCTCAGAACAAGATCGCCACGAAAGCGTCCCATCTGTTAGAGGTGTTACTGCGGAAGCATCCCAACATGAAGGGGGTCGTGTGCGGAGAAATAGAACGGCTGCTCTTTCGCTCCAATATCAGCGCCAAAGCTCAGTATTATGCGATTTGCTTTTTAAACCAAATGGTCCTCTCCCATGAAGAAAGTGAGTTGGCTAACAAATTGATAACTCTTTATTTTTGTTTCTTTCGGACTTGTATCAAGAAGAAAGACATTGAATCAAAAATGCTCAGTGCCATTCTAACGGGAGTGAACAGGGCGTACCCTTATTCCCAGACGGGTGACGACAGAGTGAGGGAGCAGGTGGACACTTTATTCAAAGTGTTGCATGTTGTAAATTTCAGTACCAGTGTGCAGGCTTTAATGCTGCTTTTCCAAGTCATGAATTCTCAGCAGACGCTATCCGATCGGTATTATACAGCATTATACAGGTAAGCGCATAGCTCTGTGGTGTGTGAATGCTTAGTAGCCGCTGTGTAGCCCTGGCTTGCCTTGAATTTGCTATGGAATCAGGCTAGCCTAGAACTCCATGAGAGCGGCCTGCCTCTGCCTTCCAAGAACTGATTAAAAGCAGACTGAATGAGTATCAGATTTTATTGTTTGGCTTCTGTTAACCTTTCAGGTGGGGCTCTTATCTACATAAAATTAGGTATAACAATTAGAGAACAGTCACAAAACAAGGGGCTCATGACTTCTCTCCTTTGTGTTCTTTCTCTTGGGGTCATTGATTTGCATTTTATCTGAGAAGGCAGAAATAAATAGTCTCTTATTCTAACATAAGCAAGAAATTTATCCCTAACGAAGATGAGATTGTTACAATTGGTCATGAAGTCTCTAAACTGTGACCCCTGGATGTGAAGATGATCTTACGATTGAACGTTTGACCTTGGTTTCATGTTGCAGAAAGATGTTGGATCCAGGGTTGACAACATGTTCGAAGCAAGCGCTGTTTCTTAACCTCGTCTACAAATCTCTGAAAGCGGACATCGTATTGCGCCGGGTGAAGGCGTTTGTGAAGCGATTACTTCAGGTTACCTGCACTCAGATGCCGCCGTTCATCTGCGGGGCCCTGTATCTTGTGTCGGAGATCCTTAAAACAAAACCCGATTTAAGAAGCCAACTGGATGATCATCCGGTATGGTTTTTACTGCTTCTTGACCCTGGGGGCGCTGGCGTGGGGGGTGCTTTTCTTTACTGACAGTAACGTCCTCGTTTCTCTGGAGAGAGTATGAGTTTTAGAACTGGACAGAACTAGATTTCACTGCCTGGTGTACAGCTAGCTAGGAGGGCAGGTTGCTTGACTCCCTATTTATTCATAGTAAGCTGCACTACAATAGAAACTGCAATCATATGAGGTAGTTATGGTGATTATAAAGCAAATAGATCTTTTCAGCATGTTTCCTCAGCTATGAAATGGAAATAAAAGCCAGGCCGTGGTGGTGCACACCTTTAATCCCAGCACTCGGGAGTCAGAGGCAAATGGGAGTTCAAGTCCAGCCTGGTCTACAAGAGCTAGTTCCAGGACAGGCTCCAAAGCTACAGAGAAACCCTGTCTCAGAAAAAAGAAAGGAAGGCAGGGAAATAAATAGTAATAACACCTGCCCCTGTTATTTACGACACAGAGAACATTTGAGGGCTCAGTTCTAAACTCTGGTTCAGAATCTGGCTCTCTTGTGTTTAAGAAGAAAGAATATAATCTTCCTTTTCATTGTGAGCAGCATTCTGACCTTGATTTTCCTTGGTGTTTTCACGCATTACCAGAATCGCCGTAAGTGAGTCTTCTCTGAGACTACATCACGTAACTGAGTGCGGCTTTGCTGCAGCTCCTGTTAGTTAACAGCCCTTGATCCATTTTGTTAGGAATCTGATGAAGAAAACTTTGTTGACGTGGGAGATGACAGTGATGTAGAAAAGTTCACTGACGCAGACAAAGAAACAGCAGTTGATGCAGTGAAGGAAGTCGGAGCCGAAGACACAGGGACTGCGGGCAGCACAGAAGCCGAGAAACCCAAGACCGCTTCCTGGGTGCACTTTGACAACCTGAAGGGTGAGGGGCTTTAGCTAAATGAAGGAATAAGTTTCCTTTCACCTTCATAGTCGAGCGAGTGCGCGGGCATTTGTGTGTGTGAGAAAGAGAGAGACAGAGAGTCAGAGAGAGAGAGAATATGCTGGAGGTGGAACCCATAGACTTTGGGTGTACTGAGCAAGCATTATATGACTGAACTACATTTGCAACCATAAAATTTTAATAGTAGGAAATCACAGATAATTTTTATTAACAGAACTACATGATTTAAATAAATATTTGAAATCAAAGCAGATGCCTTTTAGAACTGTGGAAATTAGGTGGACAAAACAATGAAATGCTTGATGCGCTGTGAGTCATTTCTTCCGGTTTCAAATGAGAGTTTATGCCAGTGAGGCCCCTCAGGCAGAGCACATGCAGACGCCCACGCGAGGCTCAGGAGAGGTTGGATTTCCGAATGGAACTGTATTTGATCCGATCTCTGTGACCTTTCTCAATTTTTTTGTGGCCATGATATTCACCCTTTGCAGTTTCTTTAAGCAAGGTTTTGTTTTAAATGTTTTATTTCATGTGTCTGTGTGTTGTTTAGCCTTTAGTATATGTGTCTATGCACACATGCATGCCCACTGACCAGGAAGTGAGAAGAAAGCATGGATACCCTGGAACTGGAATTGCAGGCAGTTGTAGGTGCTGGGAATCGAACCCAGGTCCTCTGGAAGAGCAGCCAGCGCTCTTAAGTGCTGAGCCACCTCTCAAGCCCTTTAAAGCAAGGTTTTATGATAGAAAACTTTCTGGGAAATAGAAGCCTTAAAGTGATTTCTATCTGTACATGCACACCAGAAGAAGAGAAGTCTGTTAATAGAATATTAGAGCCAAAAGAAAACTTAGGGATGCATTCTTTTTATCTGAGGCCAAAAAGAAAAACCCTAGCCTTGGACTGAAGCAAACAGTGCCAGACTCATTTCTTTAGATTTTTTTTTTTTGAGGGGTGGGGGTGGTTCATGGCTAAAGTAATTCAGCTTTAAATTTCTGTTCCAGATATATTAAAGAGATGCTGGTAGTTGTCAGGAAGGATTTACCTATATAAAGCACAAACTGTCATCTTTTACGAGGATGGAGAGCATGTGTTAGGGCTACACAATTAATAGTGTATTTCAAAAATCATGCTTAAAATGTTAATTTCTAGGGCCAGTGAGATAACTCACCAAGGAAAGGGAAAAGCATTTGCTGCCATGCCTTATGGCCTAATTCCAATCCCTGGAACGCACATTTTGTACTGGAAGGAGACCTGGCTTCTGAAAATTGTCTTCTGGTCTCCACATCCAGTGGCAATTGCACACTCATACACACACCCACACATACACACACAATAAATAAAAGTAGAATGGAAAAGGAATATTTAATCTCTTATCTCTGGGTTTCTGCAAACATGCAAATCTATTCCAAGAAAAAGATTCCTGAATGTAGTTTAGTAGCAAGGATTTGGAGAACTGCAGCACTAAAGCACGCTAGACTTGTCCTGCAGGTCTTTTCTTTCCATCCACTGCTCATGACTGTTTTCTTAGCACTTTCTCTGGCTGCTTAAAGACTACTGTGGAGATTGATCATTCTGCAGTCAGGGCCAGTGTGTTACAAAGTTTAGAGGCTTTGCTTTTTTTTTTTTTTTTTTTTTTTTTTAATTCTGTATACAATGTTCTATCTGCATGTATGCCTACAGGCCAGAAGGTACCAGATCTCATTACAGATGGTTGTGAGTCACCATGTGGTCACTGGGAATTGAACTCAGGGCCTTTGGAAGAGCAGGCAATGCTCTTAACCTCTGAGCCATCATTCCAGCCCGAGACTTTGCATTTTTTAATCTAAGATTAGATGACTGAACTACTAACAGTTTTGAAGATTGGTCTGTCTGTGAGAATGTTGGTTATAATTGAAGTGTCTTTTTCAGCTAGGAATAAAGCTTTTCAAAAATACTTTATTCTTAGGTAGCAAGCTGTTAAAGACGTATGATCCATTCAGTAGAAATCCTCTGTTCTGTGGAGCTGAAAACACAAGTCTTTGGGAGCTCAGAAAGGTAAAATAATGCCGTCTGCCTTTTCATTTGTTTGTGGCACATAATCTTGCTTTCATGCCTTATAACACATTGAAACTTTTCTTGCAAGTGATAGAATTAATGTGAAATTTCACATGGACAAAATATAGTGTTGTATGTTTATTTTACAGAAACGTCTAACTGATAGGCATGTAAATAAAAATGCCATACCTGGCTTACAATTAAGAGCATAGATTGTTGCATTGCACCTAATCCTTGCAATGTGACCACAGAGCCTCACACTACTCCACTGAGGCCCCGAGATCACAGCTACTGTCCTGATAATGACAGGGTGTCACCTTCTTTGTCAATCCGCTAACTGTAGCACAGGTGATACAAACAGAAGATGGGGTGCACTGCTAGTGCCCCAATAGTTAAAGATGGTGATACCAGCTGTGTTTGTAGCCATTAAATTTCATTATATTTTTCTCTGCTTGTACTTGTAGTATAAAGGGAGGGGGGAAAGCCAGTATCACTTGAGAATAATAAAGCAAGTATTGCTTTTATTATCTTGACCTCAAATACATGCCGGTGTTCCCTGTGTATATGGCTACCCACTCCTGCTGTGCACCTAAGGGTGAAGGTCAAACTGTGTCCAAGGTAGATCTTGGTCAGCTGTTCCTGTCCCTTGTAGCTGCTTCCTGATAGACTGACTGGCAAGCTGTGTACTCTGAGACACGTTTGCCTGTAAATGAAGTAATTGATTTTTTTTTTTTTTTTTTGCTTCAAGCAAAACAACTAATAGTATTTGTTGTAAGTGACAGAATTCACTCTCACAAAGATGAAGTTAGGCTTCCACAAGTAATCCCATGGGATTAAACCTCTGTACAAAGTTTGCTGATAAAATTAGTGATTACACCAACAGTGGAATTTTGTGTAGTTTGAAGAAACTGCCAACTCATCCAGTGTTTTTCAAATGACCAGTGTACAGGGTTGCGCATTCATATGTAGGTAAGGTCTACGTTCTTGGTAGCCCAGCTAACTTAAGTAACAAATGCCCAAGGCCGGTTCTGCTACTCTGTGGTTAATTTCCCTTTCAGTGTAACATCCCAGAAGGGAATCTACATGCAGGTGAAAGACTTGATAAATTCATTTTCAACCATAGGTCTGTTTGAGGCTAGATTCTCTTCATATATGCTCAAATAGTATGGAATTCAGGAAAAGATTTTAAAATGCATTTTCTTCTACTTAGTAAACACAAAAATAGTAGTTAACTATTATTCCCATAATGGACAACATAGTAAAAATAGTAGTTAACTATTATTTCCAAAATGAGTTAATGCTTCTTAATTTTATAATTTTTGTTCTGAAAAAAAAATACTGATTTTTCATGAACATGTTTACATAAATATCTAGTGTATATTATGTATTATTTCATTTTATGCATATGAGTATTTTGCTTACATGTATATAAGTCTATTTACGTGCATACCTGGTTCCCAAGGAAGACAGAAGGAACTGGAGTTACAGGCAGTAATGAGTCACCAGCCATGTGGGTGCTGGGACCTGAACCCAGGACCTCTGCAAGAACATCAGCCACTCTGACCTGCTAAGCCATCTCTCCGGCTCCTGGATTTATTAATTTCATTGAACTACAAGCATTTAAAAATTTCCTGTTGTAATTTCTAATAAAGTAAATATAAAAATAACCTACTTAGGTGGAAGCTCTTAAAATCTCAGATTTTTAAGTGTACATGTGATTTAGAAACCCAAATGTTTCAGAATCACTTTTTTTATGTATTAGGTTAAGTTTCAGTTTCCTAGATTTTTCTCAAATAACCTGTAATTTTGCTAAATATTGACCATAGGAATAATGACATCCACATTTTTTCTTCATAGTTATCTGAGCATTTCCACCCTTCTGTGGCCCTTTTTGCTAAGACTATCCTTGAGGTGAGTCTAAAATACTCTTTAAAATATGTAAGTAAGTATTGTAGTTTTGATCATCAGTAATTGATGGCACAGTTTCCCCGACATGTAGAATCTGATCTTTTCTGCCATTGTTGAGGACCAGTGACTTGTTTAACACAGAGAACAACGACAGAGAACTTCCTGCTCTGGGGGAGGGGAAATATGACACATCAGCACTGCAGCTACTTCTGGAGAAGGTTGTTCTCCTCTGATCCCTGGCTGCCTTTTCCAGTGTTTGGGTCTCACCATGCTTACACAGTCTACATTATAAATACTACCTATAAAACTACCAGCGCATAGCAATGTGTGTGTTTAGTTTGTTAGTGTGGTGTAATGAGAAGAATATCTGAAGGGTTATTGTTCCTGTGCGCCTCGGATGTGAAGAACTGCAGCTTACACTTTCCTGGTTTTCTTATTTGGATATATTGGCTATTTCTTTCTTTCTTTTACTAGACCCGTAAACTCTTCCCCATTTCCCCGCCTTTCAGGGAAATTTTATTCAGTACTCAGGGGACCCACTACAGGATTTCACACTCATGAGGTTCCTGGATCGATTCGTATACCGAAACCCAAAGCTACACAAAGGCAAAGGTATGCTTCCAGTTAACAACTTTCGTTTTCGCTGCTGGGCTTTAGTGAGTGAATGAATATACAACTACATCAGACTGCTGTGATTTACATTCCAGAAAATACCGACAGTGTTGTGATGCAGCCGAAAAGGAAGCATTTTATAAAGGACGTTCGTAATCTTGCTGGTAAGCACTGAGCCAGGGCAGTTGAAACCAAAAGGATACAAAAGATAGTGCAACACAAATTATATTCTTTGACTCACTTTATCATATTAAAAAGTTGAAGCATATCCAAAGTGAATAAAATTAGCAACCCTCTGACAGCCATTCCCCAGCCTTAACAGTTGCACCGTTCTGTCTTGCTCTTACCACGTAGCTCTGTCAGTGACCCGCATGTATAGTTCATATCAGCTGCAGCTCAGACCACCTCAGACTCACAAAAGCCGACTTTTCTACACGGAGCGGAGCATTGTCGGTGTGGGTGATGTCCTGTAATTGGTACCGATCTTCTCTATTCAGAGAGGACATTTCTTCACACGCCACGTCTCGCCTCATCTTGCTCAGAAATTAGAATTAGTGTAGAAGTTGTAGTTATTTCCTACCAACGTCTCAGAAATCTAGAAATGTTGATAGGATTACTCAGAGGAAATGAGGTTTTTGTTTGTTTGTTGGTTGTTTTTTTTTTTGTTGTTTTTTTTTTTTTTTTTTTGGAGACAGGGTTTCTCTGTAGCTTTGGAGCCTGTCCTGGAACTCCCTGTGTAGACGAACTCACAGAGATCCTCCTCTGCCTCCTGAGTGCTGGGATTAAAGGCGTGCGCCACCACCGCCCGGCGTAAGCCTAATCTTTAAATCAAGTCAGAAATTTTAGTTCTATAGAAAAAAATTATATTTTTCAATTCTTTGTTAGTGTCTGCAGAATTAAGTAAAATTATGAAAAGTTCTGTTAATGATTACTTCCTGTTTTTAGAATTAGAAGCATTATTGTACTTCTAAGACAACCCAATTATGCTATAATCCCGCCTGTGAGTGGTAGAAGCTGGAGGATCAGGAATTAGGATCATCCTCGGTTACTACACTGAGGTTAAGGCCAGCCTGAGCTATAGAAGACCCTGTCTCAAAAGCAAAACAAGTAGGGTTAGCAACTTCAGAACTCCTTGAGGCCTTCAGTGATTAAGAGTACTTGCTGCTCTGGGAGAGGACCCAGGTTTGGTTCTCAGTGCCCATACTGGCTATTTCATCTGTGACTACCTGTAGCGTCAGCTCTAGGGAGATCTAACACCTGTGCAGTCTCATGCCCATGCCCACACACATACATATAAATAAGTCTTTTCAAATAATGTCTGTTTCTCTTGAAACTTGTGCCTTGCGTACAGTTGGAGAATAATAAGAGAATACAGTTTCTACTGTGCCTATGTTCTGCCTGCTCTTCCCCTTTTTTTGTTTGTTTTTCGATACAAGGTTTCTCTCCTGGAACTAGCTCTTATAGACCATATTGACCTCAAACTCACAGAGATCCGCCTGCCTCTGCCTCCCAAGTGCTGGGATTAAAGACGTGCGCCACCACCGCCCGGCTTTGCCCGTTCTTCCCTACTACACTGCTGGACCTCTTTCCACCATTGTCATCTTTTTAAGATTTCACTCTGCCAGTGTGTTAGCTATAGCCCGAGAGCTGGAGCGGCACAGGGAAATGGTCATAATAAAATGTCTTGTTTACAGTGAATAGTAAAGAGTTCCTTGCAAAAGAAGAAAGCCAGATCCCAGTGGATGAAGTGTTTTTCTACAGGTAAGGTGGTACAGCATCCTTGGGGAATGTCTGAATGTTAATATTGGATACAGTGCTTTATTGATATTGGACAGTTATGAAAAGATCAGGTTATATGTCCATTTCTTTTCAAAGGAAATTTACTGATTCTGCTACTCCTCAAAATCTTAGTGAAATTGGTCAGCTTGAGGATTTTAATAATGGAGTATATAAATTTGGTTTCTGAATCTGACTTTGTGAAACTTTAGGCTTTCATTTCTTCGGAACTGTATTGCCTAAGCTGGCTTCCAACTTGTGATCCTCCTGCCTCCGTCTCCCAAACATGATTATAAACATGCTCTCACACCTGGATTCTTTTTCGTATTAAGTAGTGATTCCTTCATCATCTGTGTGAGTTTAGTACAGCAGTAACTCAGTAGTCATTATCTGGACCTTGACTCTTAGGTAGAACTGATGAAGTGCACTGTGAAGCTGTAGTGAGCTCAGAAATCACTGCTGCTGCTTTTAGTGTCTTTTTCTGGTTGACTAGTTAAATTTAAATTGCTTTTTAAAAAAATAAAAAACTTAAGTGTGAATAATTTCACAGTGGGTGTGATGCCATCTGGGAAATGTTGGGTTTACTGTGACGTGGGTGAGCTGATGAACTGTTAGGATTTGAGGAACCACTATATTCTCATGCTTAGACAATGAGTGTTGAGGTTGTTTGTGGGTTGTGGGGGATCAGATTCGGGGCCTTGTTCATGCTAGGCGACATTCTACATACACCTTTAGCCTCTGATGCCACAAAGATGAGTTTGAAGAACCAGCTTGAAAAGGGCATGGCGGCGGATAGCTGTAATCCCTGCACTCAGAGCAAAGGCTCTGATAGGTCACGTGGTGAGACCCCGTAAAGCAAATGATTAGCTTCACATTTCAGAACTTTACAGCTGTTTTGTTTAACTCAAAACACTTTTTATATTGAATACAAATTTGACTCATTTGAGTATCCAGTAACACACTTTTAGAGTTACTCATCTTTAGTCATGAATTATGCAGATATGTAATATGCATTTTATTTAGGTATTATAAGAAAGCTGCGGTTGTTAAAGAGAAACAGAAGCGCAGTGCAGATGAAAACAGCATAGAAGATGTTGATGATGAAGAATTTGAAGAGATGATTGGTAATTTGTTTTTGTTGACTTAATTTATAAAATTATTACTATTAATAAAATGTAGGACATTGGTGAACTTAGTTTTTAGAAATCATTGATCTGCAGATTATAGTGGAAGAAGGAGAAATAGCATGTAGTAACTTGCTCATAGTTTATTCTTGGAAGATATGCTTTGAACAATATGTAAAAAAATTCTATTTGCAAGAAGAGTGTTTCCTTCCTAAAACCAAGTCTCTAATGAGACAGACTTTTTATTGTTCATAATCTCCTAATTCTGTTAGTAGCAATGGTCTGCTGCTTGATCGTTTTCATCTTTATAATCCGTAGAGCTTGAGAATTTCTAACTGAAATGGAGTTAAGTGAAATGGTATCACATCCTGCCTGTGCTTAGTAAACAGTAAACACGAAAGTTGTCTTTTTGTCACTTTAGAGATTTCATTGAGCTCCTAGGTCTGTGTGAGACACGCCGGCAGAGTGCTAATGACAGCATTCTGCTGTGTGATGTGCTGACTCGCCCTCGCAGTTGACGGGGTATAATGTGTATCGCTCTTGTCCTTTGCTCTCTTATAATTTATATATTGTTCTCGGGCAGACACATTGGAAAACGATAACTGCTTCACGCCTGGAAAGGACGATATTGATTTTGCCAGGTAAAACTCAACCTTCTCTTTCCTGTTTTTCCAGTAGTTCATAAGTTATTGCTCATTAGAACAGCAGACCATAGAAATTACTTGATCCATAAGGGGAAATTCACCTGGGTTAGGGACTTTTTTATTCTGGAACTTTAGAATGCCTTGAGCAGTCTGTAATTGTTTTACATAGTTGAACAGTATATCTTAGTGTCCTGAGCACACTTTAGAAAACCCTGCCTTCCTTTACAAGTGTGGAGTTTGTTTGTTTTTCTAGCAATATGAAAAAAACAAAAGGAACTAAGGAGAACTTGGAAGATTCCGAGAGTAGTGACGATGAGGTTGGTGACCTGGATGATGATGAAGTTTCCCTGGGAAGTATGAATGATGAAGACTTTGAAATTGATGAAGATGGAGGAACATTCATGGATGTGTCAGATGATGAAATTGAAGGTAATCCAGAATACGCCAAGGGGTGGTGGCGCACACCTTTAATCCCAGTTCTTGGGAGGCAGAGGCAGGTGGATCTCTGGGGGTTCGAGGCCAGCCAGGGCTACACAGAGAAACCCTTTCTTGAAAAACAAAAAATAAATAAACTACAAATTACGTAGCTTTCTTGTTAATTCCTAGACAAATACAGGTTTTTTTAAATATAGGTTTCTATATCCAAGTAAGACACATGTCAGTGTTGAATTTTAGCTTTAACCAACATCTCTATAACAGTTTTGGTTGAGCTGTATTGTGGCCTCTGTTTGACGTTAGTATAAGGGGCTGGTGGTGTGGCTCAGTGGTAGAGTGCGTCCTAGACTGTGTGAAGTCCAGTTCGGAGCCTCAGCACTCCTGAAGAAGAAAAGGAAGAGTGATGAGCTGTTTACCCCCCAAAAGTCACTATTCATATTGTCGTATGGCACGGGTGGAACGGGTGAAAAATGGAAACTACAGATGTAGGGGAACCGTCACAGTTGTGTGTGGACTGCGGTTCCTCTTGTCCTTTCACTGCCCTCTAGTGTGCCCTGCTTTGCATCTTATGGACCTCAGCAGCAAATGTTTCTTATTTACGGAAGTGTTTAGTCTTACTAATGGCCATTGAGTAAATTATGTTCTTGCAAACTACATCAGGCACTCTTAGAGACTGGAGCATCCTGTATCCTCCAGGCCCATTCTGTTGGGACTGGAGAGCTGTGAACCCACATGGGACAGACATACCAGGCCGCACTGTTGTACTAGACTGTAGCATACATTGAATTGGTATTTTCCAGGCTTATTTTTAAAATGGCTTAATAGTAAACTTTCTTGGGTAACAGAATTTGATGAAGTCGACTCCAAAGCCAATACTAAAAAAAGCAAGAGAAAGAATGAAGATAATATTGACTTTGCTGGGTCGTTTCAAGGTAAGAAAATGCATTTAAGTCTCTTCAAATCATAGCATCTGCCACATGAAAAGTATTATCAGTTACTATTTTGGGAAATATATGTTTAAAAGTTGGTTTGATACCATTTAAAAGGTTTTTTTCTTAAAGTATCAGTTCTCAGGCATCTTCCACCTTCTGTTTAAGACAAAGGTTTCTCGTAGGCTTGGGATTTCACCAGACAGGCCAGGCTAACTGCTCCAGGAGATCCTAGGCATCCACCTGTCTCTGCCTCCTAGCTCACCATCACTGAGATTACAGCCACTGCAGTAGGTTTTTACAAGACTTCTGAGATCTGGACCCTGACCGACACACTTGTAAGGCTAGTGTGCCCGTTAAACCATCTCCCCAGCCAAGAAAGATGGATAGTTTTTTAACATGAAAACCTGTTTCTCATATGCATCCCGGTTTTGTCTCAAGTTCCTCCCTCTCACAATAAGTATCTCCAGATGGTATTTTCAGTCATGTTTATAGAGTCCAGTTATATGAGCGCTGTTCTACACTTTTAACTTCCTTGAAAGGTTTATAGATTAAACTATAGCTGAGTTTTATTAGATATTTTATTTTTAGTAGCATAAGCAAACATTTATTGATAGTGCAATAAACATATTGTCAGTCAGCTTTTCAAGTCCAAAGAATAAGATCTGAATTTTAATGTATAGTTTGCTTCACATATTACGAACTCCATCCATGTCACCTGTGGAATTTTAATCCCAAGCGATATTGTTGGTTTCTTCTGAGGATAAATCCTGAACAGCAACCAAATCTGAAAAATAGGCACACACTTTGAATAACCTACACACATTTTTTTTTTTTTAGGATCAAAGAAAAAGAAGAAAAGATTCGATGACTCCAGCCTGTTTGTCTCTGCTGAGGAGGTAGCTAACGCAATGACTGGAGAGTAGCTGTTTACATTCTTTTCAAGTTTTCTCCTAACCTTCCTCACTGTTTCTTTTTTTCTTCTCCCTTTTAAGTTTGGACATCTGTTGGATGAAAACATGGGATCCAAGTTTGATAATATTGGCATGAATGCCATGGCTAACAAAGACAATGCAAGTAAGTAAATTGATCCACCCCCCCACTCCCTCTGTGGGGTGGAGTGTAACCCAGGCTTCCTTAAACTCACTCAGTAGCTCAGGCTGGCCTTGAGAGCTTGATTCTCCACCTTGCAAGCAACAGGATTATAAGTGTACACTACCAGGTTGCCTTGAGTTTATTAGTCAAGTGTTTTAATTGGTATTTCCCTGTAGATGTCCCTAGGTGGCAGAAAACTTGCTTGTCACATAGCAAGACATTTAAACCACACAAACAGACTACAGACTCAAAACATTTTTTTCTTGGAGAGTCAGTCTTTTATTTTGACTTGGCTAAAGGTTTACTCTTATATGCTTGAAGACATTTTTAAATTTCTGATGTTACTAGTTTCATTTGTCAAATACTCATGTTAGAAAACACAGGAGAGCACCCAACAGCGGGTTTCCACAACGGGGGAGGGTGGGGTGGGAGAGCACAGGCCATGCGCCCTAAGATGCAGTCCCACTGGGGAGGACTGTGGGAGTCGAGCCCGCAGTGACGTGGACTCATCTTCCATCTCCCCTCCAAGGCTTCAAACAGCTCAAGTGGGAAGCTGAGCGTGATGACTGGCTGCACAACAGAGATGTGAAAAGCATCATCAAGAAAAAGAAAAGTTTCAAAAGGAAGATGAAAATCCCTCAAAAGTCCAAAAGGCAAAGGAAATGAGTGCTTTGGAGTGAATAATAAATGAAGATTCTACTCACCCTTAATTCTTGCTATCCAACCACTTTTCTTGATCTTTCTCTCTCACTCCATACATTCCAGACTGTTCCATGGATTTGTAATAAACTATAGAAACAAAATGCTGTCATGTATAAAATCATACAAAGAGTTAAACTTATATTGAAAAACTACTTCCATAACAAGACGAAAGGGGCAGCAGGGCTCCTTGTTCACGGGCAAGCTCCGAACAGCAGTGAGCTGCTTGTTGGGCCACTTGGTGGATTCTTGGCTTAGGTAAGTGACGGCGTCCTGTCTAGCCTTAACTGTCATGAGGTAGGCATGAGCTCTTTCCACAGAGAAGCAGAGCCTAAGGAAAAGTCTTTCCTAGCAGTAGCCTTAAGCCACCCATGGTTATGTCCACCGCCATCCTAGGTCTCATTCTGGAATCTATTCTTAACCATTGAAAGGCTCCTGTCAGGTGGGGCGTATAACTCTGATGGAAGGCTTGCCCAGCATTTGTAAAGCCTGGGGTTCAAGAGAAGTAACAAGAATTATGGCAAGAGCTAACTGTCCTAAGTAACTGGGTGAGTCCTTACTGTGCTCTCAGGAGGCAGCTAGTGTTGGAAACTGATCACAAAGGCATTTACTCCAAAGTTGTAAAAGTACCACAGAATTTACAGGCTGTTTTGCGCGTGAATTTTTACTTGAAGAAAAACATACCTTCCAAGATGAAGGGGAATGTCTTGCTCATTGTTTGCCTGAAATCTGACATTTTAAAAAAAAAAAGTCATTTTAGTAACCTATTGAGCCACAATTTAGTATATTAGTGTCTTAGAATTTTCTATTAAGGTCCCTCTGCTAATCTAAGAACTAAATCTTGTAGAATAAGATATAAAATACATTCATCTTAAAACAGCCTTTATACTCATATTCCTTTAAAGACTATGAACATCGGTAGCACCCTGGACCCAGTGTCCTAATGAAGTACTTTGAGGACGACCAATGACTAGCTTTAAGGATAAATCACTGCCCCAGGGCTATTCCCTGCTTTAGTTGGAGAAGGAAGTAATAACAATTACTAATCATAAAAGCCAAGGGCTGTAATAATAAATTAACAAATTGCTCCACTGTCTTCAGGAACAGCAGGGAAGACGGTTTCAGGGCCTCTGCTAATGCTGAGAAGCAGTTCTGTGGCCTAGGGTCGGTGTCACCTCTTCCTGGGATTACCAAACAAGTAAATGCAGGCCAGGCTGCCTCATCTGCTCACTTCTGCAGAGCCATTCTGTGCTGAGCCAGAACAGGGACACTTGTTCTACCTTCCCCAGCAAAACCCAGGCTCCTAGTCCGCAAGTCAGATGTGAGCTGCCTACTCTACAATAACAAACACCTTGCTCTCCCAGCATCTTGCCCATAAAAATGTCCAATAGCTTCTATCTAAAAAAAACATACTGCCCAGAAATGCACTGAGCATTTCCTACATACCCAGCTAGAAAAGATTAACCACTGAACTGTGTTTACCTTGGCTCGAGTTCATCTTTTCAAACAAAAAATAAGCTCCAAAAACACCCACAAGTTCAGCTGCTAAAACTCCTTTAAAGATCTTCCTTGCCAGCGGTTCCATGGTTCGAGTCATCCTAAAGTTAACAACATGAATGACCATGTTTAAACTTCTGTGACCACATCTATAAAGACCCCCACCCTCAGGTTCAGTGCTTTTTGTCTGGTTGGGTTTTTTTGGTTTTGGTTTTTTCAAGACAGGGTTTCTCTGTAGCTATGGAGCCTGACCTGGAACTCCTGTAGACCAGGCTGGCCTGGAACTCACGGAGATCTGTAGTAGGAGGCAGCTTGTTTGTTTCCCAGCAGCCCAGACTCCCAAAATAATCACTCAGAAACTATGTTAATTAAAACACTGCTTGGCCAATAGCTTAAGTGTATTGCTAGCTTAATTTAACCATTTCCATTATTTTATATTTTACCACGAGGCTCATGGTCTATAGGCAAGGTTCCAACTGGCAGCTTATATCTTTCCCCTCTGGCAGCTACATGGCGTCTTCTTAGGACTCCGCCTTCTTTCTCCCAGCATTCAGTTTAGTTTTCCCTGCCTAGCTACTCTGCCCTATTACAGGCCAAGCCAGCTTCTTTATTCATTGACTACTAAAAGCAACACATATACAGAAGGACTTCCCACACCAGAGATCTGCCTACCTCTGCTCCCTGAGAGCTGGGATTAAAGGTGTGCCCGACCACTACCCAGCTCAGTGCTTTATGTATGAAACCCAAAAGTTAGGTATATTTGGTGTAGAAATTCCTCCATACAGGTTACAATCTCCATGCCTTAGGAATGTGATAAACCAAGAACCCAAGACAGATAAAAAGCACAGAAATTCTGAGAAGACTTAAACCTTTTTATGCAAAGCAAAACTGGAGGGACTAAGGCTTTTTAGTGTCTCTGATACAGAATGGGGAAATAGGTTAGATGAACTTTTTAGCTGACCTAGGGATTAAAATGCAACCTAATAACAGGAATAGCATTTGAAGGTCATTTTGGAAACTGCCCTACAAGAGGGAGGTAATTCTGTTAAGTGAGTACATAGTTCATGCCTTTGCTAGATGGATGTGAAACCAGACCATAATGAGACTAATCAGGTCCTGTCCCTTAGGCATGCCTCTATTGAGTGTTGGAACACTTCAACTGCACCCCGCCCAAAGCATCCCTAAGTCTGCACTTTGCTTCCCACTCCTCCGATTTTGATTCAGCAAGCCTAGCATGGATACCCCATTAATTCAGTCCTTTGAAGCCATTCCAGTTTTTATACAAGTTCCTGGCCCATGAGGGGGTAGCTGACTGGGTGGCGCCAGGAAATGGTAAAACTACAGTAACTGGAAGAATTCTCCCACCCTGCCCCATATGGGAAAAAAAATGAATCAAGAAAGGGGTGTTATTGTTGAGCTTTTAGCAGGAGCCTCGAGTTCAATATCCAGCACTCATTGGGAAGTGTTTTTGAAGACAGGTATACAGCAAATAAGAATTTGACTTGCTGAATATATGAAAGTAGCCAAGTTTTTACCGTTTCTCTATAACTTCAAAAGAATAAAAAAAAAACCACTAATCTTTTTATCTCGTTCTGTATTTTCCCACTGTCCTCAATACTGAGACGGGCTGCTGTATAATAATGATGGGGTTATCCAGTCCCTCCGTCTTCTTTTATCTCTCTTTCAAGGTACCTAAGCGTGAAGGTAATTAATTGTCAGGATTATCAGCCTTGGACTATGTTACCAAGTGTCCCTCCTCCGATGTTCCTTTTTCAAGTTAATAATGGGATCACTCGGGGTACAAAAGACTTAAACTTTATTACTCTCATTTTAAAAACGAAGCAAATAAACTCACATATAACTGGGGGTTGGGCAGAAAGGGCAATAATCTGCACCGTGGACAGTCATGTTCAGCACCAAGTTCTCATGGCTGTTTTTAATGTCCCAGGGCTGAGGCGAAGAGAGGACACGGCAGATCTGCCCAGTTACGCAGCCTGTTCCATAGCTTAATCTGAGCAAAATCTTTTTTGATTGCTAAAGAGCGATGCTAAGGTTTCAAATGGTTCAAATAACGCTGTGTAATGCAACATTTACTTTCTTTAAAAAAAAATAAAAATAAAAAAACACATGGACTTCTTACATTCCAAGGCCCATGGGGAGGGTTCCACTTAATAATAAAGTCCATTAGTCATTGGGGCACACCTGACCAGACAAGACGGCCCAGGGAGACCTAAGACCACGGGGCCCTCTTGCACAGGCAGAAACGCAGGGGAAGCAGCCTCGCGTGTCCTCCAAAGTTGACCCGGGTAAGGGAAGCCGGCCGGGGCGCAGGTGCTGCAGCCCGGCGTGACCTCCAGGACGGACCCCGGCGAAGGGAAGCCGGCGGCCTAGCGAGCAGCGCTGCGCTCTGGGGCTGCTGCCCGGGACCGCTCCAAAAGCGAGCGCCCGGCCCTACCCTGGGTCCAGGCCCCAGCAGGCGCCGCGGCCCTCGGCGACCCGGAAACGCTCGCGCCTGCCCCGCGCCCCTGCACCAGCGGGACAGTCAAGCTCGAGTTCTCCCCGACCCAAGAATGTCACACAAGACCCCACGCGCCCCACGCTGGGGACCCGACGGCCTTGAACACACAGCCAGGTCCTTACCTGAGACCTGCGCACCTCCACGGCGCACGCTCACGGTCGCAGCGCCCCGCCCCCAGCTTTAGCCCCGCCCCACAGAGGATCCTGACCTAGCTACTGCGCTCCTTGTCTCTGGCAAAGTAGTTGTGGGAAGCTGCTCATTTTACATGAAAGATTATCCAGCCCTCGGGCACACTCAAAAAAAAAAAAAAAAAAAAAAAAAAAAAAAAATTCACATTCGAACCCAAACCCAGGGCACCGCCTCCAAATCTTGCACATAGACCCTCTCCCGACTCTGAACCCAAAGTGTGTCAGAGGAACCGCAACAAGCCTGGGACTGGCCAGAAATGTGGAACCCCTTAGCCAGATCCCTAAACAACCCCTCTTTACACGTAAAAGTTGCGAAGTGCTGCCCCTAGGTACTGCCCAATAGGCAAGAAGACAACTGACCCAAGGGAAGGAGAGAGAAGAGAAAGGGAGCAGGAATACCAATGAGCAACCACATGCAGGACAAAATCTGGAATGCCGAACTAATCTGCTTTCATAAAAATGCGGTCTGATGCAGGCTGTCCAACTTAGGAAGCTATGAATGCGGCCCAACAAAATCCCTGGGGTAAAACATCATGAGAAAAAAAGACTTTATTTTTTTTTTTTAACTTAATCGCTAATACCGGGCTGTGGTGGCGCACGCCTATAATCCCCGCACTCACTCGGGAGGCAGAGGCGGGCAGATCCCTGTGAGTTCAAGGACAGCTTGGTCTAAAAGGGCTAGTTCCAGGACAGGCTACAAAGGAACCCTGTCTTGTCTCGAATAAAACAAACAAACAACAACAACAACAACAAAAAAACTTGATTACTAAATTCTGAAGTGTCAACTCTGTAGATGACGATGTCATGTCACAATGCCACCCAGGATAAACACGTGTGTGCTCTCGATATTTGCACACGTGTGTGTCTTCAGTGTTACTGTAACATCCAGTTTCCGGTGTGCTATCTTCCAAGCACAGGCAGTTGATTCGGCATCATCTGCTGTGTCCTGTGTTTAGAGGGAAATGCAGTCATCAACGACGTTATGTTGCATGTCGATCGGTGTGTGAACAAGAACTCCTGGAAAGACGCTGGTTGCTTGGCCAGAACTACAGTACTGAGGAGAAACTGGAATAATCTCTCCAAAGCTTAGTTACCTTCTTTTGAGCTAGCTTTAGCCCCTTGTCCACCTCTCTGCCTGAATTAACGTCCTCTGACTACTACGTAGAGATCTTTGGACCCTAATAACGTCGTGGACCACTAGCACTTGTAGGGCCCTGGTCTCCCTTATTTCTGGGGTGCATTTGTGGGGACAGTTTATGATCAGCTAACTAAGCTTCCTGCGTGTTTCCGTGCTATCCCTGCCCCACCTGGTGATTAGCTGCAGGGCATCGTCTCCATTGTTAATATGGTAATTTCCCACCTGCCTGGGCGGAGATCCTTGTGCAGCAGTTAGATACGTAAGGATTTCCCCAAGTCTGAATAAATGGCATACGGCTGATCTCCTTTCGAATGACCCTGGTCTCTCTGTGTGTTCTTTTCAATCTCCAGGCTCTTGCCCAACTCGCATACGGTACAGGGGTGCGCGAACTGTACCGAGGGTGTAACACAAAATCCGGTGTTACAAGCACCTTCCAGCCCCAAACCAAAGAATGTCGTCAGACAGCATCTTGGGCCCACAGAAAAGCTTCCCTCATCTTCTTGTAACCATCTCTGTGGTGTACGCACGCACCAATGTATTTTAAACTTGCCTTGAGTCATGACTTTCTTTGTCCCGTAAAACTATGGAACTGCTTCCGTTTTCGAACATAGAGTTTGGGTAACCTAAATCTGTGTTCCCAGGCCACTTGGTATGGCTCCCAGAATAAATTATCTTATTTTACCTTTAAGATGAGAGCTGTGTGTGCGTGTGTGCGTACGTGTGTGTGTTGTCGAGGGTTTAAGTTATTTAGAAGACAGATAAGTATTCTTTTTTAAAAAGATTTATTTATTATGTAGAGTTCTGCCTGCATATATGCCTGCAGTCAGAAGAGGGCACCAGATCTCATTACAGATGGTTGTGAGCCACCTTGGGATTAACCCGAAATTGAACTCAGGAACTCTGGAAGAGCAGCCAGCGATCTTAACCTCTGAGACATTTCTCCAGGCCTAGGTAAGTAATCTTAATTAATTATTAAGAACCCACATACCTTAGAGACACCTCACTCATCACCCATAGTGCCTTAATCAGCTCTCTCCTCTCTACACAGACATCCGAGATGTAGAACCCAAGCCTTGCTTTCTATTTTCTTGCCAATTTTCACAATAAAAGTAAATATAGTCCCTTAGATGTTATTATATTCTAGTCTCTTTGATGCGGGAAAGTACTCTGCAGGCTATCAAAAGAGAAACGTGGATACCAACCCAGCCACAAAAACATTTGATCTACAATCTGCCCTACCTGCAGGATCTGCTGGGGCAACCGAGGTGCAGAACTTGTTTGTGGGAGTGGGCAACCAACATCAGATGTAACTTAAGGCCCAGTCCACAAGAGGGAGCCCATGCCTGATACTGCTTGGGTGGCCAGGAACCAGAGAATGGGTAGACCAGAGACCTAGAGTCAACCAAACATAACAGGTTAAAAAGAAAGAAAGATGAAAGAAAGAAAGAAAGAAAGAAAGAAAGAAAGAAAGAAAGAAAGAAAGAAAGAAAGAAAGAAAGAAAGAAAGAAAGAAAGAAAGAAAGAAAGAATTGCAATGATATTTTACTATATTTATTGATCACTGCCTTGTTCTGTAGTCATCAAAGAGGCTTCCTCCAGCAGCAGATAGGAACAGATGCATAGGAGCCAGCCGTTATGTGGAAAGGGAATCTAAATTGGTGGTCTCCATTGGGTTCCTCCTCTCGGAGACCAGGGAAAAGAGGAAGGAAAGATCGTAGGAGTCCGAGGGTTTGGAGGACACTGGGCGAATGTGGTCCACTGAATCCACTAAGCAGGGCTCCTGTGGGCTCACAGAGACCAAAGCAGCAAACACGGAGGCCTGGACGGGTCTAAAAGGTCCACTGCAGATATGTGTAGCTGTTCTGCTTGGTGTTTCGTGGGACTCCTAACAGTGGGAGCAGGACTGTCCCTGACTTTTTTGCCTGCTCTTGGGACTCTTTCCATCATGTTGGGTTGCCTTGTCCAGCCTTGATGTAAAGACTTTGCCTTGTCTTACTGTATTTTGTTTTGTCGTGTTTGATTGTTATCTCTTGGAGGCCTGTTCTTTTCTGGAAGGAGATATATAGAGGGAGTTGATTTAGGGGAGAGGGGAGGTGAGGAGGAGCTGGGAGGGTGGAGATAGGGGAAACTGTGATTGGGAGAAGAACCAATTTTCAATTAAAAAAGTAAATATGGTCCCTTAGCTGTGATCATTGTTATTATTATATTATTGATCATGATGGAGAGACTAGTCTGTGGTTAAGAGCACTTTCAGCTCCTCCAGAGGATGGCAGTTTGGTCCCTAGCACCCACAGAAGGCTGCTTACAGCCACCATTAACTCTAGCTCCAGGAGATCTGTAGCCCTCTTCTGGCCTCTTCTGGCCACCACAAGTACCGCATTCACACACACACACACACAAATAAATAAAAAATAAGAATTATGTGTGTGTGTGCGCACACATATGTGTGTATGTGCGTGTGTGAATGCAGATGCCAGCCAGTGCCCATGGAGGCCAAAACATTGGTACTGGGAACTGAACTTGTATCTTCCAGAAGAGCAGCAATCACTCTTAACCACCGAGCCATCTCTCTAGCTCCCATTAATATTTTAACCTCCAACATGGCTTCTACATACCTCAGAGAAAACAACCTAAACAAAAATGACGACGGAAGATTGCCCAGCAAAATGGAGAGAGACGGTAAAGCTTTCTACTTCATTTGTTGAGAATGGGTGAATGTTTTCCAAGATGAAAATTTGAAAAGGCATCATGTAGCTGCACATGCTCCCAAATTCAGTGTGCGACAAGGACAGCGGCACAAAGGCAGAGAGCATCGCTGGAAAAGGTCCTCTTTCTCAACACAAAATGTTTGAAAAGTCCCAGCTCAGATTCTATAGTAACAAACCAATAGTGTGGTGATATACCATATAGCAAGAGAGTCAGAACTGCTTCCTGATGCTGATTTTCTTGAGCAGTGCTTGCAGAATGCTGCAAATATACACCCTGAAAAAAATGATCACTCTAAAATCTGTTCGTCTCCCTAGAATACAGCCAGGCAAATGAAAGGAATTTGAAAATCTATACAAGGAAGTCAGAAAAATAGAAGTACTTGCTTTAGATTTAATCATGGGCAATGGCTAACATCACTGATCCAGCAAGAATGACTTCTGGGGGTTGAATAAGAATGGCCCCTGTAGGCTCCTGTATTTGTATGCTTCGTCACCAGGGAGTGGAACTGTCTGAAAGGACTACAAGGATTAGGAGGAAGTGTGTCACTGGGGTGGAATCTGCAGTTTCAA